TAACCAGGTATTCGTTTTGCAGGTTTCTTTTTTTGCCATTTTGGTCTGAAAAGTACTACGGCGTATTCGTGCCATATTGACAATGTAGAGAATTTTTTTAAAATCGTTTGTACGATTTTTTTTAATCGTTTGAACGATTTAGAAAATCTCAATCGTTCGTACGATTGAGAAAATTGTTTGAACGGTTTATAAAATCGTTTGAACGATTTTAGAAAATCGTTTGTACGATTTTTTTTCCTTCTGATTCGGAACAGAAGCGTACTGGAAAAGACCTGGTAAAGCTATTGTTTAGGGAAGTCACTTTGCTGCTGACTTAACAGGTACAGAAACACTTATTGTAAACTCTATCTTGTTAATTAAACTGTATAAATATTGTTGTAATGTTAAAATTAGTAAACCATCATATCACAATTACATGCACGATGTTTTTATGATCACTTGAATAATTGTATAGTCCATCTACGTGCCATACGTAATTTGGACCTTTGTTAGTGAACAATCTTCGTCTTATTCTGTTTTTCTTCTTAAACACACTCCATCCGGATCTTGTATAGAAAGAAGACATCGAATATTTTCTCTAGAAACGGTAAATCCTGCCATAATAGCTTTCCAGTACAACCACCTGTATCAATGCAATTGACAACATGACTCAATGAAAAGAGCTTCATCCCCTTTGCCGAATTTGTTCTAACGTCTGAACAGTCTCAACTTGGCTGTTCGGGGAGTTTGCGAAATCCTTCAAACGATTTTAAAAAATCGTACAAACGATTTTCTAAATCGTTCAAGCGATTTTTAAAAATTTTCTCTGCATTGTCCATATGGCACGAATACGCCGTCGTAGAAAAGCAGAGGGAAAATACTTTTTTTCTCAGATTCTGAAAAGTAAGGGTTTTGTAAGTATGTGATGTTCTTATTCTATTAATGAATATATAAATCAATCTATATTATGTCTTCTTTTGTCATACTGCAGAACGGGGGGAGGGGGTAAGCCCCTTTTTTGCAAAGATAGATACTTTTTTTTCTCAAATTCTGAAAAGTAAGGGTTTTGAAGTATGTCATGTTTTTAATCTATAGATGAATATGTAAATCAATCTATATTAAGTCTTCTTTTTTCACACTGCAGAACGGGGGGGGGGGGTTGTAAGTCCCCTTTTTGCAAAGATAGATACATATATCATGTAAGCATTGAACATTAAAAGACGGTTCTAAGAGAAACTGAATGACATGTACAGCTGTATATATATTAAATTTTTTTTAGACTCAATTATTTTTTGGAAGAATTTGACAAGGAGTATTTGGTGGGTTTTATTAGTTTAAAGTCAAGATCTAGTAAATGACTTTAGACTGATTTTGTGGTGCAAGACCCATTATGACGTCATAATCAATTTCAACTTTCTCTTTCCCGTACTTTACGGCTTAAGGTATGTCACTCGTCAGTTTTTTAGAAAAGTTCACGCAGAACATCTTACTTCAAAACTATTTATTAAAATTCAATTTTTATGTAATATTTAATTTCAACAATGTTAATATTTTCACACTCAACGAAAAAACTACTCAAAAATATACAAAGAAGCAAGATTTATGGGGGACTATTTCTTGTGGTGGAAGAATATTTAGCAGATAATTCTGCAAATCTGCACATTTTTTAAATTTAATATCTTGGAAATAAAGTCTCACATACATTTACTAAAAAATATTTTCCATTGTTATATTGTTAGAAATATTTAATATAGGTCTTAATTTATATTTTTAGAACACCTTTTACACCTTTTTTCAACAAACCTGGACAAAAAATAAAGATAAGTCAAATAAGTTAAGATAAGATTTACACCATTTTTGCCTAAAAATCACATATTTTGACCAATATTTCAAAATTAACATCACTGACCCAAACCTTTTCTTTCACTATTTTTAAGTGCTCGATACTTGTGACTGATCAGCACTTAAGTCGTAAAAAGCTTGATTTTAAAAAAAAATGTTTTATTGCCTATATAGTTTTTAATACCCCCAAACATGCTACTTTTTAGTGCAAAAAGGTCACACAATAATTTACGCCCATTAATTTGCAAGATTTGTTCAATGATAAACATTTTTCAAATTTTTTTTACGTAAAATAAAATCATATTTATTGCCATGGTTACACCTGATAAAATATGATAAAGTTTAAAGTAAATAACCAAAGAGTTAAATTTTAAGTGCAAAAAGGTCAACTTCATTGTACAGCGGATCAATAAGATGAACAATGACCCCCTATTTTCTCTGCGATTTTGAGCCACTCTATATGAGTACTTTTTCAAAATATACTTCTCAAAAAATCCTTGATTTAACAAATTTCACGAGTGACATACCTTAAGCAGAATTATGTAGAAAATAGGGTATTTTCGTAGCATTCAATTTGAAATCATATGAAAAGTAATCCGAATACCTATATTAAATTTGACATCATTTTAAAGAAGAGGCTATGAACATACAAATTACCGTTTTTTGAGAGACTGAAGCAATCTGGATACATTTCCTTTGTCGAATATGAAAAAACTCCCATATTCATGATTGTTTTTCTTAATTTTTCATTGAAAATGACTGTTTAAAATATGGTTTTTCATCTTGTTTACCTACAAATTATGACCCAAACACCTTATTTGACCAAGCTTTAGTTATAAAGCATCATTAAAGGAATTTATTTCTCAAATTTGATAAATATGTAGGCATCTTTCATTATAAGATCTTGACCTTAAATTGAGATAAGTATATAAATGAATGTTTTATATAAATAAAATTTATTCTGACTGTGAAAAGTATATCCGTATAAACAAACACTGTAATATTAAATTTATTTATTTTAGGTATATTTACATGTTAAATAAGGGAAAATACAAATCTTTAGAAAATTAACTCATACTGTCATTGTTTCCGACTTTAAATGTCTTGCTTTCATGGCAACATGTAAAGTCGCACACTAAATTAATTTTTAATCAAACAGTTTTATATGAAACCAATTTATTAAAAAACAATTGTTTTTATTAACATTTTACAACTTTTTTTAAAGTACAAAACTGTAGTACAGACTGTTACCTGTCTTATGTCTTTCCTTTATGGAGCCTTTGACTTTGAAAATCTTTCGTAGTCGAACTTTCATCCGGATATTTGAGATGTGGGAATTTCATTTCTCCTTTATAGCTGCCCAAAATGTTTTGGGGACAATTAAGTGAATGAAAATATCCCATGAAATCTTGCGTTCCACAGGGATAAAGGGACCAAAAGTGAAACACAATTATAATTTATGAATATTTTAATTCAAACAAATATTTTGTCCGACTTTCGATGTCCCTCTGTATTTTGCTGTTTCTTCCTTAAAATCGTCCGAACCCTGTCTCTGAGTATTTACGCGCGGCAGTGTGGACTTACTTATAGTGATTTATTGTTTAATGTCCCATTCGAGAATATTTCACTCATATAGAAAATTCTCGAAATACTGGTGAAAGGATTTATTTTGACCCTAACTTGGCACTTGCGGCCATTGAGCAATTAGGGATCTTTAACGTGCCAACGTTAAAACCGAACTTTTGATGGAATACTCGAAAGTCTCTGGTTTTATCTACCCATAACCAGAAGTATCCCATTTAAAGTCTTAAAATATCTACATTATTTTCGAGGAATTAATGAAGTCTGAAACAATTTAATTGACAAGAAGAAAGTTTCTTGAAGCGAACGATGTCATGTTAAAGTAGGTGATTTCTTAAAATAATTATTTTAAATTGGGGTCGACTTTATAGTAACAGTTTTTTAATCCTTCACCTATTTATGCAAACTGAAATATTATGTAAGAATTTTTAAGATTTAGTTCCTACAACTAGGAATTGTATCTTGGTGAATATTTTTAAGCCTTTAGCGTATGGTATGGCCCTATCCTATTGAAATTTATAATGGTTTATAGCATAGTATGATCGTATATTGGTGAACTAATAGGCTCTAGGACAATATTGATATACCATGGTGACCTGCATTGTAGGTATTAGTACAATTATTCTGCGTCGGGGAAATTTTATACAGTAGAATCCTTGGTGACCATTGTAAACTTTAGTTTACCATAGTTAAGTATAGTTAACTATAGTTATAACTTTGAAAACTTTACTTTGGTTTACTTAAGTGATCATTTTGACAAACTTTATCGAAAACTTTAACATTTTGATAAACTTTGGCGAAAACTTGACACTTAGATAAACTTTGGCGAAAACTTTGACACTTTGATTACTTTGGCTAACACTTTGATTACTTTGGCCAATACTTTAACACTTTGATTACTTTGGCCAACACTTTGATTACTTTGGCCAACACTTTGATTACATTGGCCAACACTTTGGCCAACACTTTGATTACATTGGCCAACACTTTTGACACTTTGTTAAACTACGGTGATCACTTTGGAACTTTAGTCAAAACTGTAAAACTTTGATTTACTGTAGTGATCTCTTTAAAACTTTGATTTACTATAGTGATCACTTTAAAAACTTTGATTTACTATAGTGATCACTTTGAAAACTTTGATTTACTATAGTGATCACTTTAAAAACCTTGATTTACTATAATGATCACTTTAAAAACTTTGATTTACTATAGTGATCACTTTGAAAACTTTGATTTACTATAGTGATCACTTTAAAAATTTTGATTTACTATAGTGATCACTTTGAAAACTTTGATTTACTCTAGTGATCACTTTGAAAACTTTGATTTACTATAATGATCACTTTAAAAACTTTGATTTATCTATAGTGATCACTTTGAAAACTTCGATTTACTATAGTTAAGTAAAGTAATCTATAGTTCACTATAGTTTTTTTGTTAGGGTAGAACAGAAGGATCCTATCTTGTTGACCTTTTCCAGGCTTTAACACATTATGATCCTATCTTGTTGACCTTTTAAGCTTGAAGACAGTATAATTTATCCTTTTTAAAGGCTTTAAAACAGCATGATCCTATCTTTTTGACTTGTTTTACAGGCTTTAGCCCAGTATGATCGAGGTCCGTATCCTCCGAAGAAGCCTGTAGGAGGTATCACTATACACATTTATCTCTCTCACCTCTCTCTAGCTCTCAAGAAGTTATAATTCTGTATAGAAATGTAATAAAATTCTGAATGGGAAACTTCCTTTCATATAAGGATGTTGAGATTTTAAAAGTATACAATATCATTTTGCATCGTTTACTTTGGAAAAATTAAAACAATTCCTAAAGTGTAATACTTTTTCCTATTTTGCTAAAATCTATAATTCAAACCAATTGTCTTTTGCTTTACAGAACTGTTTTAAAAATTTGTTATAAGAAGACAATCCTTAGGGATTAACCAACGTTTTTTTTTCTTAAAAAAAAATCATTTTGAAAGCTTGTTTCTTCAAACACCCATGTAATCTTGAAGTAAATTCCACACCAGAAATATTTGTAACTTCAACTTGCTCTCGTTTTAGTATGCATTCTAAATGATGGCAGAACGTACAAGGTAGGAGAGAATTTTCCCGCCGGTGACGGCTGTAACGGGTGCACCTGCCGCTCCGACTTAAGCGTCGTGTGTACCTTAATAGATTGTGGAGGAAGTGAGTAGCATTTACTGAACGTTTGTTACATGTAGATTAATAATACCAAAAAATCAACGCGAGTTAAATATTTAAAAGTTTACATCGAATGTTCCATCCATTACACCAGGGGAAAGTATGTGATCTGTTGAAGTTTGTGTTGTGTGTGGTTTTTTTTTGGGGGGGGGGGTTCAGTTGTGTTTTTTTTTTGGGGGGGGGGGAGAAAAAAAATCACTGTATTAATGAAATTATTCAGGTATCTTTTCTGTTTTAGATCCCTCGGACGTGTGTTCTCAACCAAAGGTCGTGGGTCCTTGTAAAGCTTTAATAAGGCGTTGGTGGTACAACAAAAGAACTGCCAACCGCTGTGAAAGATTTAACTATGGCGGGTGTCAGGGAAATCAAAATAACTTTGAATCCAAGAAGGGATGTGAAAACCGCTGCAAGAGGAGAGCATGTAAGTTTGAACTTAAACTTGAGGTACTGTGAGCAGTGAGCTCACTAAATCATACACCCCGCCTCCCATATGAGTAGTATAAGGGGTCTAGCTAGGGAAAGATTCTGATTGGCTGAGAGAAATCACGTGATCAGTTCTGATTGGTTGAGGATAGGTGGGGTCAACTGAGTGCAGTCCTGAAATGACCCTAGCCCCCTAACCCTAACCCTAGCCCCTTAACCCTAACTAACCCTAACCCTAACCCCCTAACCCTAACCCTAACCCTAACCCCTAACTAACCCTAGCCCTAACCCTAACCCTA